ACGGGGGGAGGGGGCGGGCGGGGGACGGCCGCCGTGGCCGGGGGTGCCAGCGGCGCCCGGGGTGACGGGGCTGACGGCGCTGGCTCTCCGCAGGACGGACTGAAGCGGAGCCTCGGCGACCTCAGGCGGCAGCTCGCTTGGGTGGAGCGGCTCGACGTGACGCTGGGCCCGGTGGCTGCCGCCGCGGATGGCGCCTCGCACAGCCCCGGCGAGGGGCACAGCGCTTCCCACAAGGAGGCCGTGGACCCGGAGAACGACTTCCAGAGAGAGATGAGCTTGTACGTGCGGAGAAGAGGCCTCTTGTGGGATTTTGGGACGATGCCATGTGCTTGGGCTCCCTGGCCTGTGCGCAATCCCAGTGGTGCTTCGCCCCTACGCGTGCCAGTGACCCGCAGGCTGTCACTGGTGCCGTCACTCCTGCTCCGTGTCGTGTGTGGATGTGACACAGTGGAGCAGAGCCTGGGGCCCTTGGGTTGTTTCGCTGACAAACTCGGTGGAAAACTAAGCTTGAGATCTCACCTCTTTGTTTTTGGCTTCACTGTATCTGTTATAAGTAAAAAGCTAGTTTCATAGTTAACCAAGCTACTAGTTTATGCTCAATTCTTTTTATCTTGACAAAATTTAACTGGAGAAGTACTTCATTGATGTTAAAAAGTCATATAATATTAAGTAATTAGGCTACTCCTGTGAAGTCTGCCAATCAATTTCAGTAGTGGGCAGCAGTTCAGTACTCCTTAATAGATTTCTAGAATGCTTTTTAACTTGCTTGCTGGAGCTGCAGTTGTTTCTCATGGGAATTCCTGAGCAACCAGTGCAATAATATAATTCAAGATGACTTTATTTCAAGCATACCAAAATATGAGTCTAAAGACACAGTAGATTACCAAATGTTTTCCTTCTGATGGTGCTGAATTTGAGCAAAATAACTACAAACTGATGCTTTTATTTTTCACTTATCTTCTGACAAGAAATAATTTCCCGCCTTGCAGCAAACTTTCATAATTTTCTGGATTTTTTCTTTGAAAAGTTCTTGTGTTGTTTGTAAACCTGTAATTGAAAAATGGATGAAGTGTGTGTGCTCTACTAGCACCTGGAATACTTTCATTAATAGAGCTTAATGCTGTAGGGGTACAGAGGGTTGATATAAGCCTAGGGTGTAACAAAAATGTATCTGGTATTAGCTGGCTCATACTATCATAATTTCTGTTGCTGTCATGAGATGTGCTTGATACCCAGCAACGTTCATCTGGCCCTGTGTTGTCCCTCTAGTTACCGACAGGCTCAGGCTGCCGTCCTGGAAGCGCTACCGAGGCTGCATAAGCTCCAGGTTCCTACCAGAAGGCCAGATGATTATTTTGCAGAGATGGCCAAATCTGACCAACAGATGCAGAAGGTACGTGGTTTGAATAATGATATGTTCTTTCCTGTGTTACAGGTTGGTTTTAGCTTTTGTTAGGCATTAGCTTTGAAATTTGATTGTGTTCAATTAATTGTTACCTTCATTTCAGTGGCAAAGGCATGTGACAATGTTTGTGTTTGAAATTTTGTTTGTGGTAAGACATTTCTTCTCTAAGTATTTCTTTGGAATTTGGGAACTTTCATAACAGGCTGGAGTGTGATACATAGTTTCCCCTAAATGAAAACTATTTTAAAGATACAGAGACTTTTTCTCCTTGTATGTGAGAATGCCTTAAGACTTGTCATCAACTGTGGCATTAACCTGTAACCCAATCTCCTTGTATGTGAGAATGCCTTAAGATTTGTCGTCAACTGTGTCATTAACCTGTGATCTTTTTTCCCAGTTTAAATGTCACTCTTAATTTATGCTTGGTGTCTTTTGATTCTTATGAATTTTAAACAATGTTATTGAACTACATGAGTGGAATTTGGTAGTAGTTTTGTAGTAAGTTTTTGTAGTAAAAGCCATCATAAAGTACTCATTTTCCTTTTCATTACTCATTTTGTTTTTTTATCCCCCAATTAAGATTCGACAGAAGCTTAAGAGTAAACAAGAAGCAATGGAGAAGACTGAGAAGGCAAAACAGCTCCGTGCACTGAGAAAATACGGCAAGAAGGTGAGGTGGAGCTAGAGAAGTGACCCATCTATGCTAAGAATCTAGAGGCTGAGTGGAGAATTTAGAAATTGAGACCGCATGAGGCATTCAAAAGTACATGGAATCTGTTTAGTCTTTTACCTCACTGCTTTGAAGGGAGAGAGAATGAAAGATGAGATACCTAAAAATAAAAAAGTCATGGGTGCGAGATGGAATGACACTAATACTGTCTTTGATCCAGGTGCAAACAGAAATTCTGCAGAAGAGACAGAAGGAGAAAAAATCCATGTTGAATGCAGTCAAGAAATACCAGAAAGGTAAAGCTGACACATTTAAGTAAATGTGTAATTGGAGGATCAGAGATGTGTGAGGAATGCAGGGCATGGTGAGGTGTGGTTTCGATCAGTAGTGGTGGGCAGTGAGCTTGAGAGGCTGCTGTTTAGAGCCACACACCAGTGGCAACAAAAATCCTCCCAACTAGCTGCCTTCCCATGTGGGTGACTTGTTGCCATTACTTGCTTAGACTGAAAAATCTTAGTTCTGTGGTGGCAGCTGAACAACTGTTTTCTTTCCTCTTGTAGGTCTCTCTGACAAGCTGGATTTCCTAGATGAGGGGCAGACTTCATCTCAGGGGAACAAGAAAGGCAGTGGAAGTCAACGCGTAAAGAAAGGGTGAGACGCGTAAAGAAAGATGCTAATGGCAGAATTTGTGTTTTTTCCAGTCTTATCAGAGATTTTTTTGGAACAGTGAGATCTGTTTTAAATGGTATTCCTTAATAGTAAGTCCCAGGTATCTCTCTCTCTCTCTCTGCTAGCTGAAGGGAGTCTATGAGCTATATTGCTATATTGGGAGCTTTCTATTGTTTTTTTTTTTTTTTTTTCAGACCAAATGCCAAACGACGATACAAGAATCAGAAGTTTGGTTTTGGTGGGAAGAAGAAGGGCTCCAAGTGGAACACAAAGGAGAGTTTTAATGATGTATCCAGCTTTAAAGGAAAAGTCGCTCACAACAAAGGTCCCAGAAAAGCAGGGAAAAAAGCCCTCAATGTAAGTAAAATGTTGCATGCAAATGATTGCGGTTAGTTGGGAAGCCCATCCTGGTCTGGCAGGCCAACCTGAGTGTGTTGTGCTGCCTCCAGGAAGTGAGAATGTTTGTTTATCTGTGGATATTGAGCATAATTCAAAGACAGACAATGCTGAAGATGGTGATTCGGTGTCTGAGCAAGTAAATGAGCAGAGGAGCGAGTGGGTATCATTGGTTGTTGCCTGTGCCAAAAAGCTCCCTCTCCAGAGAAACTGACAAATATCTTCTCCTTAGTATCTTTCCCATACTATTGAGCTCGAGTAAAGTTTGGGGACATGAAAGAAACTGAATCTATTTTCTTTTTGCAGAAGAGACCTGGAAAGAGAGCAAGGCAGAAAATGAAGAGCCGAGCACGCTAAGTGGACTGTTCAGTGAGTTTGTGTTGTCACTGTGTTGTAAAACATTTCTGCTGTCTCCAAGCAACTAACTGCAGAGCAGGCCAGATGCTTCCATGTGGCATGAGGAAAGTCAGTGAAAACTAGTGCCTTATCACTTATTTCTTAACGTGTATATCCTGAAGGATTTTTTTTTTCAGTTTAAACGTTTGGTGCATGTGAACTCATTAAACAGTTTGCACAGAACTCTTTCTATGCCTAGTCCGTGTTTATGTTGTGAACATTGGGTGAAGCCTCTGTTCCACTCAATCCCACAGCTTTTTACACAGCTACTGTTAACTTGTACTTGCTGCCCTCGAGTTCTGGGTCATGTTATTGATTGAAAATAAGAGAAATCTTTTTTTGGGCTCTTTGTGTAGGTGGTTTTGGAAGTAACAGTGAGACAAAAGCAGCACTCTTACAAACGGGTTTATTTTTATAAGTGTTGTCAAGCTGCAAATTTGGCTGGACTGGCATTCTCTCCTCGCATTTCTCATCTTCTCTTGCCAGAAATCTACCAGAACCACTTAATAAGGAGCAGGCTCTAACCCGTTAGACAGATGGCATTAACTGTATTGGAGTTGTGTGCCTTGACCGCACTATTGCAGGTTCTCAGACTGCTCCTTCAGGCGCCAGAAGGCAGCCATGTATCTCGTGATCTCCGTGCTGCGGCGTGGGAAGTGCAGTCTGCAGTCAGTGCGGTCCACGTGAATCTGGGGTGGGGAAAAACACCATAGCTAAAGCACATGACTACGCATGCTATCATGTGTAGTAGTATTCCCGCCTGAGAAAAATAATGCATGGTGTTCACTGCTGCTAAGAAATGCCCAAATCACTGCAGAACAAGGTACTACTAATTTTAATTACGGTAGTAGCACTTGGTGAAAAAGGAAACAGTATTTCTTAAAAATTCACTTTAAAAGCAGTCATGTTGAAAACAGTTATCATGAATCCTGTCTTCTAAAATACAGCTCAGTTTCCTGCACTCAGTTTTAATTGCTTCTTTCCTGCCTGAAAATACAACAACCGCTATCTAAAGGCTTAAACGGAGTGGGCTGATTCTAGTCTTGCCAACAGTAACAAGTTTACCTGAAGTCTGATATGAGAAGTTGTGAAAATATCCTTATTTACAGTTTTCTTCATAACAAGCCAGCATTAGTCAGGCTTCTGTGGCCTTCCTGGAAGCATTAACTTATCTATAAAATCAGTCATGGTATTAATTTGTCAGATATGATCAATGTTTTAGCTTTTGATAATAAGATTCCTTTTCCTCCCCCTAGTTATTTCCCCTTCCACAAGTGAATCCTCATATATTTTGCCTGGGGTATATTTAGCTGATTATTAAATTTCTGGTTCTGCTTTAAATTTTTCTGAAAGATAAAGCACAGTTGCAAACTTCTCGCAGTACTTATGTATAACACTTCATACTGCTCATTATTTCTTCTGGCTGCGTAATTTCGTAAACAAGTGAGAACACTTGGTGTTTGGATAGATGCTTGGACTGACTGTCACTGGTGGCATTTTGCCTTCAAGTTGTCTGCTGTTTTTATGTTCAAAACCTATGCAAGTCCTCAAAGACTAAACTTTAAAAGCTTGCTGTCCATGAACAATTCTACTCTTCCCTAGTTGTTCCTGTTTTCTATCTTTGTCACATAGTTTTTTGGCACAAATGTCTTTTATTGTGATGGACTGAACCACTCTGAATTGTGCAGTTGGATCCTTAAGCACTCAACTCACCAAAGGTGTTGTGTTCCAGCCAATTTCCTGGCTTTCAGTTTGTGGCTCTGAGTATTTCTTGGTTGGCTCCAGTGCTGCGTGGTGAATGAGATTCAGGAACTTGGCTGTTGGTTTGAGACAAGACACAAACGCAGGAAAAGATGTTTAAAAAGCATCAAAGGCCAAACCTTTGTTTGAGGCAACTCCTCTGCTTCTGGGAGTGACCTTCCACAAGACGACAGAGTGACATTTCTATTCAAATTTATCCTGACAGAGCTTCAGAATTTGTGCTTCTTTGCTGGCTTGTTGATTTTCTCATCCTTGTCTACTATACTGTAATATCTTCTTCTTATGCCATAACTAATACCACAATCCACACTAGCTGTAATCCTTCCTCACGTGCCCAAGACCTGTTCTTCCTATTGTAGATTTTTTTCCCCTGGGTGAAGCTTGTGTTCTCAAGCAAAACTTTAAGGCCCCATGAATCCAGGCTTATACTGATCAATAAATGTAATGGGCGGGACCTGAAATGGGGAAAAATGCCTTACCTTTGTGCTTTTTATTAAATATATTTCATATTCTTACCCTGTCAGGGGGCTTCTGTGTTGTCAGCTTTTGGTCTTAGTTATGGGACATTCCCTTAATTAATGACCACAGGGGTTGCTCAGGGGCTCTTACCATCTGCAGGCTCCTCTATATTGTCGTGCCAAGCCATGGGCTTCCTGGTGATCATGTGAACTGCAGTGAAAGGAGGGATGTGAACGGCCTTGATTAGCACCACAGCTCGGAAAAGCGGCATTTTTCAGGGCAAACGTGGGATTTTTGGGGGCATGGGGGGGG